AAAAAAAAAAAAAAAAAAAAAAAACCAAAACAAACAGAAAACTATCACATCGTTTTGCTGCAGTGTTAGTGACAATACTTCATTTTAATTTGCTCCGAATCTCAGATTACATTTAAGAGGCATTTTTTGTATTTCTGGAAATAGGGATGGTGTTGGCAGGGCCAGGGACGCACGGACAGAGCCCTCACCCCTTTCACCTCTGACATTTTACCGTGCCCTGGGTCTAAGGGCATCAGGGAATGGCACAGTCCAGAACCGAAAGAACTGGCTACCTCCCAACTTTTAGAGTACATGCCTCTCCAAGAAAAACAGTGCTTAGTTTGAATAATTAAGCCACCTCGGCATAAACTTTGGGGACACATTAACAGTACTGAAAAAGAAAAGACACATTCATTTGAAACATTCAAACCATAAACCAATTTTCAAACAACTCGAGCAGCTTTAATACAATAAAAACTCTGTCCCAGCAGCAATACACCCTCGTACACAAAGATATGAATCACTTCCTGCTAGACACGGCAATTAATGTGCAATAACCGATCCACTGAAACCTGACTGTAAAAAGCTAATAAAGAAAAAGAAAACAATCGCAGCTATAAAATTGCCTTCGGGTTTTAGTTTTTTTTTCCACTACCTGTAGTTATTCCCGAGATACAGTACTTGGGCAAGGTTCCATTTCCAAAGCAAACTGACAATCTAGAGAACGGAGAGGCAGCACTCAGGAGAAATAAAAAGCAGCTCGAAGAGCGAGACAATGTGGGCATCGCAGAGATGATGCCGCATTCTGACAGCCGCGCTGTCTACGTGACCACCCACAGGTAAGCCCAGCTCCCCATGCCGAGTTCTCTCCAACCCCTGTCTTTCTAGAATCTTCCCCCGGTGAGTTCTGGTGTGTGGAGCTCTGCAGGATGGAGGGAGGAAGACTGTGGAGGTGAGACCTTGCTGGGGGCCAGGTGAGGCGGCGGGCGGGGTGCCTGGAGACCTCACCCAAACGCAAGAGCCCTTCAGGAGACAGGCCAACGACTGCAGTCCGCGGAATAAGGACAGCATCAACCTCCCGATCTTCCACACTCCACACCGGGCTACCTTCCCATGATGCCGCACTGTCCCCAGCCCCTTGCTCTGCCTCGGGACGGACAAGGCACAGATGAGTTCTGCCAAATGGAGACAGCTGCACTGCCGGGTGCGGTAATGAACCAGGCCCGCAGCTCCAGCGCCGCCGGACGGTTTGGGCCGCCCAGGGCCTCCGCGCTCTGCACATCCAACATTCTCCTCAATCTTCGAGCCACACTGGGGCTCTTTTTTCTGAACATTACTCGGAAATAACTTGGTTTCCTTAGAAACTGAAAAACAGGAGAATGTTTCGAAACTTGACAATAAAAAAGTGACAATACTAATTAAAAAACTTAAATTTGCAAATCACTTTATACATTAAACACGCATCTGAAAAGCCTGCTATTGTGGACCGATTCCCTCCTCCCCTAACTCCTACGCTGAAACCATGAGGCCGGGATTACGGTGTGTGGGGACAGAGCCTTTGGGAAGCGATGAGGTTTGGATAAGTTCAGGAGGGTGAGGGCCCCAGGATGGAGTCAGGGCTCTCGGAAGAAGAGGAAGAGAAGAGGGTGCTTTCTGTCTGCTGTCCTTGTACAGGGGTCCATTTGTAAACCAAGATGAAAACGACCAAATCTGATGCTGCTGGCACCGAGTCCTGTCTACGGTATTTTGTTACACAGCCAGAGCTGACCAAGACACTTAGTCTCAAAACCACCTGTGAGGCAAGCAGGGCTATTACTGTCTTAGAATCACTGCTGGAGAGAACCTTGGCACCATGGTGAAATACAGGTTTCACTCTCGGGCCAGTAAAGCAGGCCTCAGTGGGGTGCGTCGCTGCAAAGCTCAGGCTGCTGTCCCGAGTCAGTGATCTTCTACCAGAGCCTCCTGTGCTGTGCCTTGCAGCTTTATGTTATAAATGGGATGCTTGGGCAACCCAAGCATCAGAATGAAACTTAGAAGGGACAGGCTGAGGAGACTGTGGAAAACGGGTATCACCGTAATACTAGATTAACAAATAAGTGCATGTAGCTGTCTTTGTGTTTCCTTTTGCAAATAACACAATACAACAGCCTGGGTGCATTATAAAGAAAAGCGGCTTATTTTGTTTTACAGTTCTGGCCCAAGATCGAGGGGCTGTGTCTAATGACGTCAGGGAGTGCACAGTGGACGTAGCCAAACTGGGTTTTACAGCAGAATCTGCGGGGAGACAGCTCATTAGCCCACTGATGAATTCATCACGCGAGCAGATTAATCCACTCGTGGGGGGGCCCTAGTCACCTCCGAAAGATCCCATCCGCTCCACCTCTGAATGTCTCATAACGAGCACCCAATTTCAACATGAGTTTCGGGGCAGACAAACCATTTTCAAACCTTAGCAGCTGCTCCTGAGAGAGCACCTTAGCTTTAGGGTTGCAGGTGTGGACAGGCAAACTCACTACCGAGATGAAGGAGGTAGAAGTCAGAGGAGGGCATGAAAAATGCTCTACTTTTCTGAATTCCAACCTAGGTTTATTCCAGACAAGCTTCCTCTGCAATGAACTTGTGCTTGCTCAGTCTCTGATCTTCCCCATCCATTACAGGGTAATTACTTGCTCTCGCTTTGCGTGGAATTTCAAACATGCAAATGTGAAACAGTTTGGTGGAGTAATCTCAGCCTAATTTCAGTTTATGTGTAACATAACAAGTAACACGAGTCTCATCAAATTGAGAGAAAATAACTGTCAATATTTCAGACTGAAAATAATATCTCAAAATTGCTAGAAACAGAAAACCACTGACTGCACCCTGTTATAC